TGTATGTATGTATGTATGTATGTATGTATGTATGTATGTGTATGTATGTATGTATGTATGTATGTATGTATGTATGTATGTATGTATGTATGTATGTAATGTATGTATGTATGTATGTATGTATGTATGTATGTATGTATGTATGTATGTATGTATGTATGTATGTATGTATGTATGTATGTATGTATGTATGTATTGTATGTATGTATGTATGTATGTATGTATGTATGTATGTATGTATGTATGTATGTATGTATGTATGTATGTATGTATGTATGTATGTAATGTATGTATGTATGTATGTAATGTATGTATGTATGTATGTATGTATGTATGTATGTATGTATGTATGTATGTATGTATGTATGTATGTATGTATGTATGTATGTATGTATGTATGTATGTATGTATGTATGTATGTATGTATGTATGTATGTATGTATGTATGTATGTATGTATGTATGTATGTATGTATGTATGTATGTATGTATGTATGTATGTATGTATGTATGTATGTATGTATGTATGTATGTATGTATGTATGTATGTATGTATGTATGTATGTATGTATGTATGTATGTATGTATGTATGTATGTATGTATGTATGTATGTATGTATGTATGTATGTATGTATGTATGTATGTATGTATGTATGTATGTATGTATGTATGTATGTATGTATGTATGTATGTATGTATGTATGTATGTATGTATGTATGTATGTATGTATGTATGTATGTATGTATGTATGTATGTATGTATGTATGTATGTATGTATGTATGTATGTATGTATGTATGTATGTATGTATGTATGTATGTATGTATGTATGTATGTATGTATGTATGTATGTATGTATGTATGTATGTATGTATGTATGTATGTATGTATGTATGTATGTATGTATGTAATGTATGTATGTATGTATGTATGTATGTATGTATGTATGTATGTATGTATGTATGTATGTATGTATGTATGTATGTATGTATGTATGTATGTATGTATGTATGTATGTATGTATGTATGTATGTATGTATGTATGTATGTATGTATGTATGTATGTATGTATGTATGTATGTATGTATGTATGTATGTATGTATGTATGTATGTATGTATGTATGTATGTATGTATGTATGTATGTATGTATGTATGTATGTATGTATGTATGTATGTATGTATGTATGTATGTATGTATGTATGTATGTATGTATGTATGTATGTATGTGTATGTATGTATGTATGTATGTATGTATGTATGTATGTATGTATGTATGTATGTATGTATGTATGTATGTATGTATGTATGTATGTATGTATGTATGTATGTATGTATGTATGTATATTATTAAGTGTTTTTCAGACCTGCTTTTGGGTTAAAGATTGGTTCACAGCCGGATCAGGCTTGGATATCATGGGATGGCAAGGGGTTTTCCATTTTCGAGCAAAACAGTAGTTACCCCTGATTGATCGCCGGCGCCGACTCGCCTAAGTGCATACACAACATTTACGTCACCCGCCCTGCTTGAGGATGAAGTCAACTCTCTCACCGAGTTCCTGGGCTTGAGCACTTTTTGGGAAGACAATTTTGGTGGCCAACAGCACTCAGGAAGTGAGCCAATGTGGCGTTGTCTTGTACCATTGGCGGCTTGAACAATATATCGGGGTCGACAAGTGGACGGTAGTTTTTTTTGCTGTGTAAACCGACCCCTTTGTTTTCTCCAACAAGACCACCTGAGTCCACCCCGCCGGAAATTGCTCCAGGTTGTCTGGCACAGGTGCTGATGGTCAAATCCACTTCGCGGCATTCATCTGCTTCTTCAGTTTTTTGTTTCCCCATCTTGCCTGCAGTTTCGTCCAAATACGTGCACAAGCTCCATTCACATACCTTGACGGCTCCCAGCCATGCCCTTAGCCTTTTAGCTTGTTAGTGTTTAGTGGTAGTTTCCATTTAAACCACTAAAAGTTGGCCACTTTTAGCGGGATCGGAAAACGGGCAGCCCAGATACATGGAAAGCGGATTTTGTCCCTCGGGGGTCGATCCCCAGGATGGCTCCATTGGTTACTCGGAGTTCCTAGTGGCTTGGATGCCGCTCGGCTATGCGCGGCGGGGTGGATTCTGGTTTTCGACAGGTGGCACCTGTGATACAAAGACGTGCGATGGTCACCTGTACAAACGCGAAATGGGGGCTGGGGGGAGAGAGGGGAGGGGGAGGGAGCCCAAAGAAGCGCTGAATAAGGCCTTAACAAGGTGTGCACACAGCCAAACTTCAGCATTTTGAATGGGTTTCTAAGGCTCGGGATGGACCTGGCGAAAACAAGTTTCCCTTTGGCTTCCCTGAACAAAATACATACCACCCAACACTGAGACCGAGAAATGAGTCAGGACACATGCCCAAAACCTGCTTGCTGCCATGCTGGGCAAGGGTCAACAGATAGGGGCGCCTGTTTTGTTCTGCCACCGGGGCAAGCAAACTGACATCATCGAAAACTGTTTTTTGCCGCTGGAACGGCTGGTATGATCATACATATTATGTGTGTATGCATCATGATGCATGATGAAGATAAAGTATTAAATTCGTTTTGATACAGCGCGTTGATTAGTTCGAAGTTCCTCTACCAAATAAGTCTCCAGGTTACTGAGCGGCGATCGCAAGTCTTTTGCTTTGATGGTTTTCTGGAAGTCAAACGGGGGCTCCACAGTTTTAATGGAGAAGCACCCAGCAGCCTTGCAACTTGAATCACGCTCCGGTCAAGGCAGTCTAGCCATTCCACAACTTGCTTGAGAAGTATATCTTGGATGGACAAGATCCATATTGGGTGGTTTATCCCTGTGCATGGGCTTCGTCCATCCCAGCCGGCGTCGACCGGCGTCGATTTTGTCCATCCAGGGTATTGGGTCGCGTCCGGGGTGGCATGGGCCATGACGCGAAGTCGGGGGGCTGAATTCTCGCAGCGGACTGCGCGCACAGAAGACAACCGCTCATTGGGGTAAACACTCACTTTGTTCTAGGGGTTGATTCCTTGTCCATTCTTTTCAACCATCGTTCTTTTCGAAAACCGATCGCCGTTTTCTTGGGTTTCTAGAGGTTTTAACTAGAAATACGTATTCCTGGAAAGAATGGGGAAGGTATGTACCCCTAGATTTGTTTCGTCATTATTTCGAGGCAGCTGACAAACATCCGACGGATTACTTAAAGACGGCGGATTCTGAGCCCGCGTTGCCCGACGAGAAGGTTCACCTCCGGGAAACACCTCTCTATGAAAAAAGTATGCTTGCCGGATAGAAAGTGCAATGGCACAATTCCTATCATTCTGGTTTATTATTCCCCCTTCAAGTACTTGCCTTCCGGTTGAGCAAAATGGCACACTTCCCATCATTTTGGTTTAGTTTGTCCCTTGAATTGCTTACCACCAATGATGGCATCCACTTCCCGGTCCCCCGTGACGCTGAGGTACGCCAACCATTCGGCCGACGACTCCTGCCTCAGGCGGATGGCTTGCGAATCAACTGCTCGAGGCTTTGGCAATGCGGCAAGGTCTTACATTGCCCCTCGTTTGGCAGTTTACCGGAAAACCACAACTTTGGAGGGGTCCCCAAAGATGGCAAACCAACATCCATGTTTAAATCCTTGGTTTAGGCTGAGTGTTGACCAAGTTTGCGAGATGGTCATCAACTCAGATTTGAGACAGCCAGAAGCTGGCGACCATCGGGCATGGGCATAATCAGATCAGGATCCTGTGAGAGTTGGGAAAGGGCTGGGGATCCAAACCAAGGATGCTGAAGCATGTGTCAGATCCAATTGCTTTCAATACTTGCTATTTCTTCGTTGGGTTTAAAGGGAGTCTATCGTATGGTTGTTTCTTCAGGGGACTGGGCAAATGGAAGCTTAAGCATGTTCAAGCGGTATTTGCTTAGAACGTGTCTGAAGAAACATGTTGGCCCAACCTTTGGTTCCTATTGACTATGGTCCACTCCACGAGTTCCAAAAGTAGATGACTGCTTGAACTTTCGGTTCCCCGTTTGGTTGCTCGGGTTTTTCGTGGTTGTTAGTCGGTTTAGTGGTTTGGGTTTCCATTCATACAACCCACTAAAGTTAAACTCTCCGCAAAAAATCTGAGGATAGCCCAGACGGTTGGTGTTCATGTTTTTGTTTTCCCTGAAGCGCCATCCAACAGCGGGGCTTTTTTTTTTGTTTAACGCTGTTTTGAGGAACACGGCTCCGAACCTCAAACCACCAAACATATGGCTGTGGCTCAAAAAGCAGGCACCCAAATGGCCCCCTTGGTAAGTGGAACCAAAGCCTAAGCTCCGCATAACCCTAGCTCCTGAATCTGGAGCCGCACCCATATCAGGATGAAACATCACAACGGTTGACATCTTGCCACATGGTCATGACGTAAAAATAGCCTGATGGTAGCCCAAAGCACCATTTTATATTCTAATTCTAGACAATTGGGAATAGAGGTCGTGTTCAGTCGACTTGCTGATGCAGAAAGGGTCGACTGGGAGCAAGCCTGAGGGATGTAAGCATATGACCGAAAACGAGTTGGGACACGTCTCAGGAGAAAGGTATACATCTACAAACACGTAAGTTACATTTCAGACATATGTTCCAGTAGAAATCAGCCTGTTTGCCTATAGGGCCTTGGGGTGTGAGTCAAAGAGGCCCAAAAAAGATGCTGGTGTCCTTTTGGCTCCATTTTCTACCCCGAAAAGGATGAGCCTCAAGACACAGCCTCATCCCCTGAAGGGCAAGAGGCAGCTCCCGTCTCGCCGCATCTTCCCGGCAACTTGCATCACATTAGCCACGCCCTCAAAACCCGAGGGGGAGAATCCTTCGCATAAATCGGCGCTTTCCCCCGGTTTTCTGAAACATGGGTCCTGGGTCCCGACCATCCTGGCTTCCATTTGCTCAAGCCCCCCCCTAGGAAAAAGACACATATTTCCAGCAGTGATAGATTCCCCAAACCGACAGGGGGAAACAACATACTCCTGAGCAAGCCTTGGGAAACATCTCAGCTTCCCACTAGCGTTCAACATACGCAGCCCAAATCCGCCTGTCCAAAAAGAGTTGCTATGGAAACAATTGGAAGCAACTGGAAGCTCGGGATTCGCCACGCTCACATCGCAGGCGAGCCTTCAAGACCTTGCGGGGCCGGGACGGCCGCGTCTCGCGGGCGGAGGTGAGGAACGCGCTCTGCTCTCGCCAGATGCGGCTCGGTCGCCGCACTGCGCGCGAGCGCGCGGACAGCGCGCGAGCGCGCGAGGCTCCCAAAAGGAAATGGGGGTCGTATGCAAGACCTGGCACAAAAGTTGCGAACTGAAAACCATGTAAATAGTTAGCAAGGCCCCAAGCTCTGTATGGTTGGGAGTGTCCCTTACTAACCTTCATTCAGCCGGGTTTTGATTGTGGCTCAAACAGGTTGATCAAATGGGTTACCTGTAACCATGGGGTCATCTTTGGGGAAACCACCAAAATAGATGGCTCTCACCACATGGGAACAGATGCCATGGTCATTTTGGGGCCGAAAGGACTATTGAGCAACCCTCCAAGTACCAAAACCAGAAACCAGAAAACCCCGCACCCCGCCGTCCCTGCCCCGGACCTTCATCATGGGTGAGCTCATTAGAGAGGGGATGCTGGGAGGGGTTTGTCGCTTTCTGTGTAAATCACTCCTTTTGCAAACGCAGAAGCAGATCACTTTACAGCTGCAGCTGCAGAGTTTGTCGAGGAAAGATGTCAGTTAGCAGTTCTATATTTTGTTAGGATTTGAATAGGAACTTCTTTGCACGGTAGGTTTCGAAGCATTTACATTTACAGGACAAACACCAAAGCACAACAACACCGGTAACAGTCAACTTTGAGAAATCAAAAGCAACAACACAGAAACAACAAACATACTCTATGGAATGTTCTTGCCACACGGAGAAAAAAGACTGAAGAAACAAAGCATCATCAATAAATCTGAAAGCACACATGGCAGGGAATATTATTGGCATATGAGCAAGGCCCAAACCTTCTCTTTGTCAGCAAGCTTCCACACATTATTTTTGTCGGATGTTTCCGATGTCTCGATGTGTTGTTCTTTGTCTGCAAGTGAGTAAGACCCACACATTTCCTATTTGATACCTTTCTGGACTCGGATCGGTGTGCTCGCTCTAATTTCCCCGGGAAGTGGCGAACAGCCTGCATTGTGAAAAGCCAAGGGATGGCCTTGCAGGGGTGGGTTGACACACCTGACGTGACAGCCTGGGGGCATATGGAAGGAGCCTTCAAGCTTCCCCTTCCTACTGTGGGTGGACGAAATCCATTTCGCACCACCTAAGAAGCCCTGGAAGTATGATTTCCCTGTAACTACCAACAAACGATATGGTTTCAATCATGCTTCAAAGTAGTGCGAAATGGATTTGGTTCATCCACAGTATTTCAGGACAGCCTAAGCAGGTTGCGTAACAAACCGGTTCAGATCGCTTGGGCTGAGAGCAGCTCGGAAGAGCTTTGCCACAGATTTTTCCTGAGCCCCCCCCCCCTAGCCCCCCCCCCCAAGGAAACACCAGGGGAGGGTGGTCACTGACGAGGGTTGGTATGTGCTCCGGGTCCCGGACGGCCAGTGGACGCCCCAAAGACCCAGAATGAAGTCTTGGGCCCCTGAAGCCTAAACCGACCTAAAAAAGGCAGGGCTCAAAAGATCTCCATGTTGCAACCACTTGAAACATGTTGCTGTTTCAACAATATAAATAGAGAAACCAAAAGCAACAAGACAATGTTCAGGTGTATAAAGGGCGGGGCCTTTGAACCCTAGCGGGCGCCCTGGTTTCACGAGGCAGGAGCTGGGCTGCGGTCACCAGCTCGCCGAGGACCGGGGGAAACGGGAGTCCAGGCGTACCCCGGTTTTACCAATGGATCCTTCCATTTGCTTAATAATATATATTTGTTAATTGTGTTTAGTATTTTCCCTTGTTGGTTTAAAAAACAACTTATCACTACTGGTTTTTTCCTGGGGTCTGAACCAAATGGAAGTATCCAGTTTTTTTTGGTTGAGCTTCCCAAAAAGAATAAGTGCGGCTCGTCATGTTTCTTTTCTCGCAGGGCAGCCAACTTTTTGCTGGTGTTACCGGGAGACCGAAAGGAAAACCGCCATTTTGGGGGGGTCCACGAAAAGCAGACTCACCCATTATAGGTTGGTAAAGTAGGCTCCTGGCTTCCGTGATGGAGGGCAAAAGCCTTCAGTTTCGTTGATCCAGTTTCTTTAAACGAGTAAACTACAAGAAGAGTCGGCCTGTTGGAGTTGTGATCCACTTCTTAATGGTCCCTTGGTACCTTCCCAAGATAGAGCTTGTCTATTAATCCACAGCTGCATTGAAAGCTTTAGCTGTTGGACAGCTGCTTCCTGCCGCTGGTTCACTTTGCATGTCCTGATGCATGGTGACTCCGAGCTGAAAATGATGGAAGGTGTACGCAACTTGCTGGTGAGATAGGGAATGACCCGAGTGCGGGTTTTGAGAATGAATAGGAAGGGGTGTTTTCGAAGGAAGCCATAGACGGGATGGTTATGTAGGGGTCATTTCCCTGCTGAGAACCAGAAGACCATTGGTTTGGCTTCCCTCGATGTTCGTTCGACCGGGTCCGCGTTGAACCCTTGGCATCTTTCTGGCCGCAAGCTCGCCTGGGGATGAAACCACCTTTTTCACGTAGTTCGCTTTACTTGGGGAGAATCACATCCGGCAACAATTGATATTATATAATATTATATATATATACATTACGGTACATACATATATTAGCGTGTATATATATATATATATGCTGGTGTTGGTGACAAAGCACTGGAGAAGGAAAAAACGGTGTCTTCTCACAACACTTCTTCTTTGTTTTCTTCTTTTTTTTTGGGCCATATATATATATATACACATAATATACCTAATATACATAATATACGTGATATTCATGATATACATGTATATGTATGCCTCAAGGTGTTTGTCCTATGGGGATTTCAGGCATCCCAGCTCGAGAGGTTCACCAATTCTCCAACCCATTTCCGGCACCCTATTCGAGAGGCCTTACCATTGGACTTCCATTGGCTGAAATGTTTTTGTTTTTTTTTTTTCTGTTTTTTTTTTGGTTTTTTTTTTTTTTTTTTTTTTTTTTTTTAACAAAACAATATATATATATATCTAATATTTTCCCCTGTTGGTTTATTAAAGGGAATCTATTTCACTACTGGACATATATTTTTTATTTTTCCCGAGGGGCTTTAGCAAATGGCATTGGAGGACACCGAAACAAATGCAGGTGTTGGGATGCACGGAGCCTTATGAATACTCGTTGATCAACCGCCAATCCCAACTGGTGCGAATCGGATTGTGTTCATCCACATGACCTATTCATTTTGGCTTTTAAACGTCGCGACTCCCGAAAAAGGAGGTATTTGACCTTAAAAAACCCAGGTTTTCTAAACAAATGCAGAAAGAATAAGAGGGTATTTCTCACTCCCTGAGTTCCGCTTCGGACTTTCGACTTGTTGGATTTGGACCAGTTTAGTGGCCAACAAGAAGTTTAAGTTTGCTTTTTTGGCCAGTCGACCCTTTCCCTTGGTCTGGGGTTGTCCTGGTTTTAGTGGGCCTTCACTTTTGGAGGGGCCCCCACCCCCTAGAAAATAGGACGGGTTTATTAATCCGGGGTCGATATTCCTTGACTTCGGTGCATTTTGCTTGGATGTCAGGTCTTTAACTTTTTGCCAACTAATGGGTTTTTCCATCAAACCACCAAAAGTGAACATCTTTTAGCAGGCCTTCGCAGAAAGCCACCGAGGTTTGTTATGTCCTCTTGTTTGTCGATGCTTGTGCATCGTGTTTGGTGTTGTGTTTTGCTTGTTGTTGTGTTTTGTTTTTTTGTTTTGACAAAAAATATTGTTTAATTAAAAACAATAAAAATAAATAAAAACATATTTGTGTATACCACCCAAACCCATTGAGTTGAGTGGTCTCGGGTCCCGATCTCGAGGACATCGCGGCCATCTTCCCGCAAGAGCGGCTCACCTTCGAGCGCTTCCAGGAGCAGACGCCGCCGTTTGAAGCGCGTGGAAACGTTTTGGCGCCGCCGGGTTTGTTAAGGGGCGAAAAGGCGAAAAGGCGCTGGTTGGTTTCGCGGATCTCTGGACTTGCACTTGTTTTTTCTCTCTTTTTTGTGTTTTATTTTCTTTTTCGGTGGATTTTCGTGGCTCACTTTTTGCCGGGTCGTTGACAACCAGGTTCCTAGCTTGCTCAACCAAACAAGAACATCTTGCCCTTGAAAATGATGAACCAAGCAAAAACAGTTGCATCCTTTACGCTTGAAGGTTCACCAAGTTAGGCTCTGGAGGGAAATAAGGGGAGACCCTTGAAGAGGGTCTCTGCACAAACGTAAAATAAGGGGATCGCCTTGAAAAGGGTTTCTGCACAAAAAGAAGGGACCCCTTGATTTTCTGGGTGCAAAATAGCTGATGCTTGTTTTCCTCAACAGGACACCAAACGGTTTTTGTTCAATTTGTCCAGAGCCCCTATTTAGCACACTGATACCCAGTTTGGGTGGTTTGAAGCATCACACATTTCTTTGGACCATTTAAGGTGACTGCCCTTGATACTTGGGTGATTTTAGCATATTTTCACGGGGAACTATAGGGAACCCCGCACAGAGAATCCAGTGATTGTTTTGGTGTGCAAAACTAGGACCCCAAGCAGGCGGTTTCATGTCAACTTTGCCTTTTCGCAGTTGAGAAAGCATGTTGGGTGAGTGGGGTCTGGACCACATAGCCAAATGGCAGGAAAAAACAAGTATGTCGTTTTGTGGGTGCCCTTTTGAATGGAACCCAAAGAGACATCACCGATTTTGCGGCTCCCCCCTTAAACAAACTCAAATGGAGCGAAAGCTTACATGTGCAGAGCACAGATGACTTGCACAGGCTGGTATGCGAATGCGAAGAAGTTACAGCCCAAAAAGTGCAGGGGCCCCATGATTTCAAATCAGCGCACTGGGCGGGTCCAAGCGATGACTTTGAAGTTCAGGTTTGCTCACTGCCCTTTCTCCAATTAATTGTGACGGTGGACAGGCGGCCTTTTTGAGAAGGTTGTTTCCAGATGCCTTAGAGAGGCACCCTCTCTGAAAAAAACGAGCTGGGGCCCCAAGGTTGTGTTCATGGTCACGTTCGGTTTTGATGTTGTGCCTTACTCCCCGAGTTCCTGGACTCTCAATGCTCAGAAAACATGCAGAATCGGAAACCCGAAACGATGCCCCGTCCATTTCGCGCGAAAGCCAAAAGCGCGCGGAGGAGTGCCTTCAGCAACATGAGGATCTGGGCGCGCAGGGCTCTCTGCAGCTCTCCGTGCGACGGGGAGATGCGAAGGCGCTGCACCTTCTTCCTTCAGCACGTTTCAGGGACCTTCTTTTAGACGGTTTTGAAGGGAAACGAAAAGGAAACCAACCCACCTGGAGGCATGTCCACATAATGGGCAGCGGAATTCCTGAGAGTTAAACCTTGAATCATGGCTATACTTGTCTTAACCTGCCCTCCACTCATTCTACTTATGCAGGCTCCTTCATTTTCGTCGGTGGACGCGAAAAGGCGTTGGCTGTTCGCTTCAGCTAAGGGTTTTTTCCCGTAAGTTCGAACGTCCAAAATCCACTTTTCGAATTGCCCTTCCAAACAGTGGAGGTCCTGACCCCAATGGAGGGTCCAATGATGCTTAGGGTTGAGGTCGGGTTAGGTTGCAATGGAAATATTTACCAAGCAGGAGCCTTTCAAAATCAGCCTCCAGGGTATACTTTAGCCTGGTTTTCTATTTGGCTTCAATCAGCATGGGAAAATAGCGCCCCTTGTTCTTCTTCTTCTCACCTGTTGACCGTGAGAAGCCCTGCGTCGGAAGATTGAAGGGGGTCCAGAAACTTAAGGTATTCGCAATCGCGGCATAATTGGGAACGAATGGAAACCTCTCTTTTTTATTTTGGTTTACCTCCATAGTTTCCTTGTCTTTTGCCGGTTCACCCTTATTTCCGAATTCTCAGCTTCGCCTGATTCCCAGCTCCGCGCCACCTGGACGCGGAACCACGACGAGAGCGACGACTCGGACCTCGACAAAGAGGAGAGGCGCGGGGCGCGAGAAAAGTCGCGGCGGCCATGATGTTTTTTCCAAACAAAAGCCAGACCCCTCCAAATGCTTCCATTTGCTTAAGAATATGTGTTATTTTCCCCTTTTGATTTTAAAGGGAATTTTGTTTCAATCACTAATGGAAATATTTGCATTTTTTCCAGCGGACTTAAGCAAATGGATGAATGGCCCCAAAAATGGTACCCAGCTCTCAACAAAAGCGCTCGCATCAATTGGTTTCATTTAAAATTGGCCCAATCCTTCCCGAGCAGTTCTCAGCATTGAAAGACATGGGTTCCTACTTCTTTGAGGGTACCCTTTATTGGACTAAAGGAATTGAAGTCAGGCATCTCGCAGGCACTGTTAAATCGGTATTCCTTTTTGGGTCCCTAGCTGCCCTTTTTGTAGCGGATTAGATGCAACATGCCTCCCAAACCCTTGCCACCTCCGGCGGCGGGAGAAAGGGCAGCGTGTTTGGTACGATTCTAAATGTATTGCAATTCTTACACCGATTGTTCGCACTGAACTGTGTACTTGATTTTAAAGGGAACCGCCCCCCCCCCCCCAAGTTGGTTTCTTTTCCCAGGGCCGTATCCACAGGAGCATTGCACCCCGTAAAGGATCTGCTTGTTATGTCCTTGGACTCCAAATCCCAGAGTGCTTGCGAGTTTCATGATCGACTTGACCGCTGTTTGCCATCACAAGGACCTCCGGCGAGGGTCCAACAAGTGCAAAGGAGTTTCTGGCACAGACGACATCCAATCTGCGCCTGGCCAAGGTTTCAATAAGTGGTGCTGGAGTTTGTCCAGAGTTCTGTGTTCAACCTATATGGCTATGGGTCAAAACCAATGGTATCATTTTGGGGTAGGTGCCCCCCCTCATTTTAGTCCATTTTAGTGGGGATTGGGATGTTCACCGGGGCGTACGGGATTTTGACCTGTGGCCATATACTTAAGTAGGTTACCATGGCGAGAAAAAGGGGCTCCCAGTTGCCTGACGGCTGTCCATGGTCATTTTCTTCAAACGACTCCGGTTTCGCACATCATGTGAAGTGTGTGTTCGTGGCTGTGAGCAAACAACCTCGTGGACTCTGTGCTCCTTGAGGCCCTTGCAGATTGAAAGAAGTTTCGTTGAGTGGGGTCTCAAATAAGGTTACACCAAATTTGATTCAATTTGGATTGCCCGGAGATGTCCAAGTTGAGTCGTGACTGATTCGCCGGTGAATGAACGACAGGCCACCGGAAAGCGTCTACAGCCGCCCGGCGTTTCTGGGTTCTCCAGACCCGTGTGGTCTCCGAAGTGAAGAACCGCCCGTGAATTTTTGATGAACCCCTTGACAGGGGACATAAATGGGTGTGTGTGTTTTACGAGCCCCCCCAAAAATAAGTAAATAAGTAAAATAAATATAGTAGTGTGGTTTTTCCTTTGAAACTACCCCAACATGCTACCCTCATGTCCAGGAAACCCCAACTCAAGTTCACGCCCAAATCAAGCACCAGTCAAGGTGCCTTTCATTGAAAGTCTGGTTCGTCTTGTGAGAAAGCTGGGCCCATTCAAGTGATGAAACATGACAAGCTGGAAGGCCGTTTTTAGAACCTCCCCAAGACGCACAACGTATTGCGCCCACTAAAAGACGACCCTGCTTTGGGACGTGCCAAGCAGGTTGGCTACACAGAGTGAAGGATGCTTCCCACCAGGCAACACACTCACTCCTGAGGGATTTCCCTGAGAACTTTGGGTTCCACATGTGAACCTCAGTGGATTTTGAAGATTTGGGCTGGCAATTAGGCGAAGGCCTGTCTCTCCTAAAAGCATCCGGAGCCCTTCCTTTTAGTGGCCTTCTTTACCTAGGTCCCCCAGTGCCCTTTTACCCTTTTCTTGGAGGAGGGTTCCCCTACTAAAACAGACTACAGAAAGAAGTTGGTACCCTTATTCCATTTTCGGCGGGTCACGGGGGCTTGGGGTGACCTTGTGAGTTGACCTAATCGCTAGCCTGTCAGCCAGCATCTCACGTTGACGCAAAGATGGGTGGCTTGTCTTTTTCTCGGAGTTGGCACCCCTTGTTTATTTTCAATTGAAGCCAACATGACAACCGAAGCCATTTTTGATGGTTGTCTAAAACAAGACACACCCAAGTCTTCGAAAAGGGCACCGCCCCCACATTTCTCTGATTCATTGGCTTCCGGAAGACGCATTGCCCTGACGGCAGCCTTTTGCACGGCCGGACGAATCAGAAAAAAAACATCGGATATGCTGGCGTATCGATTTTTGGCGGCGGCTTTTTGGCTCTATGGAGTCATGGTCGATTCTTGAGCCATGCAGATGGTCGCCTTTGCTCAGCACCGAGCCGTCTTCCTTTGGCTCGAAGAAGCGCAACCGGGTGTTGGGACACACATCCTCGCTTGAGAGCAAGCTACTCCGCAATCTGACATGAGTCGAAAACTTGGCGGAGTGCGTGGAGCACACTGCGGAAGCAAGCGACATCATGTTGGCACACTGCCTGCGCGATTGCGGTGTGAGCAAGGAAGGCTCGCTGCATGTATGGTCAGACTGCGGCCCGCATTTCCGCTCCGCGGAGAATCTGCACTTTTACGCCCGCACATTGGTCGAAAAGAGAAAGCAGCCCGTTTTGGCTCGCTGGCTCGGAGAACAACATGGCAAAGGTGTTCTCGACCAGTTGTTCGGAATCTCAGGCACTCATCTGGGCGGATGGATTGGGCAGCATGCTTTGCGGCAGCCTATCCATAACATTGAGCACATGCGTAAGGCTCTCCAGGAAGGCGCTGACAGACAGGTTCGGACCAACCCTGGGAATGCTGCGTGGGTTATTCGCACCATAAACTACGGCGAAAACAAGGCTTCCCTGCGGAGATTCCTGTATGCTGAGAGCTTGAAGATCACACGCGCGTACGCTCTTGATGCTGTGCCGGCGCCTGGGTCCGCGGCCAATCTGCCGCCTATTCTCTACAACAGAGTGTTTGCTGAGCGCCCAAATGCTGACCGCACGCGCGACTGGCGCATTGAGGTTCTGGAAACACCTGGCGAAAAGTGGCGGCAAAGTTTTTTTGAAGGCAAGCGTGACTGGGAGCAGACACAGATCGATGTGCACGCCCCTTCGCATTGAAGCGTGTCTGGCAAGCTCAGAAAGGATGCTTGCCGCCACACGCTCTCCTTCCTGAAGTTGCATTTTCTGAGAAAATGCAACGGCAGCAGAAGTGCCAAAGGAAAGCAGCCGAACGGTTGCAGAGGAAGCGGGCTTCTGCGCGGGGCGGATGTAAATCTTTCTGATTGTGAATCTAGTAGCAGCTCTAGTCTAGCACAAGCCTAGCCAGTTCTATAAGTGGGGAGCATGATCTGGATGCGGAATGAAGAGGGTTATGGAGGCGGCCGCTTGGAATTTTGTGTCGAATGGCCTGGGATAAGGATTTTTGTACCAGGCTCACATGGCTGTGGGTCAAACCAATGCGATCCCATTTTAAGGGTTTTCGGTGCACCACCCATTTTGGTCTATTCGTGGGGATTGGGATGTTCACTGGAGGTACGGGATTTTCACCCATGGCCACATGAATCCAAGGGAAGACTGGACGGAGCCAGCACACATTTCACATGGCAAAGTACTCGGCCTCGACTTGGTTTGGTTGGGACACCCCAATTCTTCTTTCCAACCATACCCACAGAAGTCAGGGGTCCGGTTAGACATCCCTTCATGGTCACTTCAAACATCTGTTGTTGGTTGGGTTGACACTTCATTTGGAGTGATGTTTGAGGGAATCTCCACGGGCGTGTCGTTTTTGCGGTTACTCTTTCATTTGTTTTCTTGTTTTGGAAGTCCAACGGGAAATCAGCCACAATCAAAACCCGGGTAGATGAGGGTTAGTAAGGGGCAGTCCCAGCCGGGTGACGAGATCAATAGCAAATCCGTGGAGCCCAGGCACGCTCTGCAAATGTATTGGCTGCTATGGAGCGCCTCGACCACCAGATCCGCCCAGTGCTTTTTCTTTTTGAACCTGGTTTTTCTTGAACCTGGTGTCTTTTGTATGCCTATTGTTCTCTTGAACCTGGTGGTTGTTGGGGGTGGAGGCCAGGTTGCTTTTTGTTTCGGCGGGAGTTTTCGATCAAAGATCAGGCTACCCTTGCCCTCCCACCCTTTTAATGAACTTTCACATGGAACTTTTGACGCTCGGGACCCGGTCCCAGAAGGAAATGGTCCAAACCAGGACCCTTCGAACGTCAGGTTCTATGTTAACTGGTGGGAGGGCATTTCATGGCCCCCTCCGCTTTTTCTTCTTTTTTGTGGATTTCCCACTACAGATGGTCATCCTCAAAAGGGTTGTGTGGTTTTTATACCAGGGTTGGTCAGGCAACCCTCAATTTGTGGTTTGGATTGATGATTTGGTCAGGCAACCCCTGGTTCTTGTAGATGATAAATGGGAAACCACCCCCTGACCGCCAAACTACCAATCCAAACCACCAGAATCAAAGGGAAGCTGAATCCATGGCGCGTGGTCCGACCCCAAAGGCCTCGTGAAGAATTTCCCTTTGCGCCCCTGAGCGACCCTCGAAAAGGCGCACGGTTCTTCGCGATTGGAGTCAGAATCAAACCCGGTAGTAAAATGGTCTACCCAGAACCATGTAATGAATTCAGAAGGCGGCCGCAACTATCTGTTGGAACACGGAAGGCGTCCAATAAGCCTACAAGAGGAGAGCGACCTTTTGCTCAGGCAGAGGGAAGCCAGCCACGTCACCCCTCAAGTGGTGAGCTCCACCAGCTGACGAGAACCCCCAGGGCCCCCAGTGAAGGTCATGACTCCGCTCAGCATGACCGTGGTCAACCAGACCCCCTGATTTTATTTAACATAATAATGCTGATATTAATAAGGGGGTCAGAATAACTCAACCAACCCCACGTTGTTTTATGAATTGAAACAATGATAATAAGGATAACAGAATAATCATCAACCAGAATCATAATAGTGATATATCTCTATATATATATATATTAAAATAGCAATCACAAGACAATAAAAACCAACCCCAAATTGTTTATCAACTAAACCAATGATAATATGGGGGTCTTTAAAATAGCGATAATAAAGCGACTTGGTTCTAGCCATGCCTACAACCTCTGCGGCCGGTCCAGAGGAGAGAAAGCACACGGAGGAAACCGCCCAGGGTTCAAAGATTTGGAGACAAGCACATTCGGTCAGAAAACGTGCATCGATTTGGGGACGCGGGACCCGTTGACCCATGTCGGGACATAGACGCTCTGTCGCCCAATTTCTGGGGTGCTGGCGCAACAGGCTCCGGGGAATTCCCAGGTGAAAAGTTGTACCGATGGCTCTGTGCTGTGGGCTGCAAGTTTCAGGGGCTTTCCGTTAAGGCCCCTTTTTGCTCAGCAGCATCCTCGTTTCAATCCGTTTTGGGTTTAGGGTTCAAAAGAGAAGAATGTTCGAAGTTCAAGGGGACGGGACATGGCTATTTAGGTCAGTTTTTTTTTTGGGGGGGGAGACGGCCCGAAATGGTGTTTTTTTTGTTGTTTCCCTTGAATTCCACCAAACAAAGAGTACCCTCAACAAAAAGAAGACACACCCATTCGGTATCGAATCTTTGGACTTTGACTTGTTGAAACAGGTTTGAATGTTTTTTTTTGTTTTCCCCATTGGAGTCAAGTGTTGCAGAGGCGTCCTCTTCCGAGGTTATGACCCACTTATAGTGGGGTTAACCCAGTCATTATTAGGGTATGACTCAGGTGGCTAACCACTTACTCAACTTGGCCGAACATCTAAGTACGGCAACCAAGCTCGTTGCTGCAGGGTCCTTGCCAAAGCGTCCCTCCCCACAGCGGCAAGGTTTACGGCAGTGCAGGCCACGCCTTCGACGGAAGCAGAACGGGTGTGGGATGTCCCCTTGGCATCTGGATCGCTTTTCAAGTCATTTGCTCTATAGGATGGGTTTTCCGGAAATGCTTCCCGGTTTCGGATTGAATATCTGGACCCCAAAGTGGTAAACTTTCCGGAAGGGAAGCCAAAAGAGAATGGCTCACTCCCCGACTTCCTGGACAACAAATGGCTCACTCCCAACAAACAGTTGGACTTTGTTTGGCCAATCCACTCAGGAAGTGAGATGGCAATTGATTCACATGTTCCAGACCTTCGCACCCCAAAAGGACACTTAGATCTAAGCTATCTTTTTGCGACCAAGGACGCCCGCCGAGACGAGCACGAGAATGTCTTCGAGCTGGAGCAAACCCTGAGGTGAGTCATCATCCCATGATTATGTGAAGTGCTTGGTGCCATTGCATCAGAGCCATTCATCTAGGGGTAAGTTCTCCGTTTCGGCGAGTGTTTTGATGGTGCCTTTGTCGGTTGGTTTCAAGGGAATCCAAAAAGAACACCACTTTGCGGGTTCTTTGAAAAAAGCACTCGATCTGTGCAAAGATGAGGATTGGTGGAAATAATAGGGAAGTTACCCCGAGAATACAAGTCTAGCGCCGTGTTATCCTTTAGATCCTGGAGGTCCTAAAACGGGTCGCTCCTGGGCCCGATCCGTTCGATTTGCGCACGCGGCGGCTATGCCGCGGCTATGCCGCGGCCCCCTAAGCGGGCCAGCGATCACCAAGTCCTACAATGGGCTGTGAGAGTTTTTGTTTGAACTGGAACCACATGATCAGATGTTTGATTTGAGATTCTCGTTTTTTTTTTTTTTTTTTTTTTTAACGGTTTGAACCTCTAAACTGGGTCCCCCAGTAGTTCCCTTTCCCCCTTTTTTGGGGGGAGGGTGCCCCTACAAAAATCGACTAAACTGAAAAATATCGGAAACCAAGCTATGCTAACCTCTCAAGTCTGGAGGAGCTAGTCTATAGTACTTTGCCCAGACTGGGTGTGTCAAGGCCGGGGCCACAAGGGCGCGGAGGATTCCTATGGCCAATCTGAGATCCGAAAGTCGCCTGGTTGGCTTGCCGGTGCTCAGGGAGTGAGAAATGGAATGAACCCAATGGGTCCCCTGAAAGGAAACCACCTGGATGGAGTTGTCAGGGTCATTCCAAGTCTCTCTGCCGATTTCGCGCCGATCGCAAGTTGGAGTCAGCAAACTAAGTATTTTTCGGTTGTGAGCCCCGCGTAAGCTGTAGCTTCTTTAGCATGTGCGAAGAAACTGGACACCGACTTGCTGGGAGGTTTCAATTCCAAGCCCGAAACCTCCAAAACGATTTTAGATGTTCGAGTCTAGATATGGTCATGGGTCAAAACCCCGTACCCCCAGGGTGGTGCACCTATCCCAAAATGGTACCATTGGTTTTGAACCATGGCCATATGATTCTGCGGTCAATATTGAAAGAACAAACCATTAAGAGGAAAGCCGTTGTTTTCTTTTCTTTTTCTGTGGGCCACTTTCAAGAATCGACCTAAGGTGTCTTTTTCTTTCGATCCCGTGGCCGGGGACAACCGCCGACTTGTGAGGATGTTTTGTCCACTTCCTGCGGGCCAATCAATTGAGTTGACCAGGCACGCATGGGAAGCTTTGTGAGTGACTGGAAGCTAACCCTAAGGATCCATATGCTTTCTACAGAGCTACTTTGAGCCCTTTGGACTCCAAATCCATGCTCAGGCTATCAAAGGCGTCCCAAACTGACAATCTGGGTGTTGCACTTGGGGCTGTCGTTTTTTCAGAAATGAAAGGAACACTGTTGTGTGACAAACCCACTTGGTTTCTAGCGTACTCATACCGATCCTCGACATTCCATGGCCATGTGGGAAAACTCCAGGCCCATCGCGCGGGGTTGCACCTCACCCGACTTTTGCTTAGACACGTGGAGGTGACCAGGTACCTTCTTAAAACCCTAGTTCCCCGAGCCGAGTAGTGCCCTTTTACCAACTTTTTGGGGGGAGGGTTCCCCTACTAAAATAGACGACAAAAAAAATCGGGCACCAACTTATTCTAGCCTTTCTACTGGAGGACCCAGAACCTGTTCTCTTTGGGGTCCGAGCGTCCATGCCATCGCCTTTGCCACTGGCCCAATTTTCGTTGTTAGGGATAAACAATTGGTCAACGTCTGGCTGGCGCGGGAGAGCGGGCTTCGGCAAAGAGCTGTGGCCCGCTCCGGGTGCAAACCATGAGGAACAAAGCTTTGATGTGAGCCGAAAATTGGGGACCCCTGATGAAAACGCATGGACCTTCCGATGTCTTCCCTTTTAGTTCAAAGCAAACTTAAAGGGGTCCCAAATTGTCGAGCTCCAAATCTTCTGGAAAAAGCGCTGACCTGCAGTCTCGTTAGAGGGGGGGTGTCGGCTGGTCGGGTTTCCTCTACGACCAGCCAACCGTGGGTGCCGCCCTCTTGGTGGACGCACTGAGCTACTTTAGAGATGTTCTGGATCTTTTTTGGAAAATTTGTCATGCAAGGTTCCTGAACAGGATTGCTTCCAGGATACAAGTTGTAGCCATGTTGAGAATCACGTTTATCAGCTTTGTGAATCAGGTATTTTTGGATGTATCTCAGGCCCTCCTGCTAAATATGAACCATAAACAACATGTAAATTCGATTAAATTCGGGTTGGTTCAGCCTTCCCGCTTCTCACAATGCGGCCGCAAGGCAAAGCTTCTGTAACCGTCTTCCGCTTGGAGGCTTATTCACATGCCAACCCCAGACATGTTAGGATAATTACACCTGCTCCCACCAAACCTAATGTTCGGGGCGTCTTGTGCTCTTGATCCTTGGCTGAGGCTTCCTGGCAGAATGCCCAAGAACATGTGGCTGTGGGTCAGAAATAATTGCGTACCCAAAATGGAACCCAGGGAATTTGAACCAAGCACTAAAACTTCTGTGGTCCAATTCCTGGTGGCGTTCTTTTTGACCCATCCCCATGTGGGTATTTGGAGTCTTGAGGCCCATTGGCTCGGCTGGACCCCAAAAAACTTGCAATCACCCGCCCGAGCTTCGCGACTCGGCCTTCCTTTTCAAAATTTCAATTTTGATAGGCTGCTGGGCTAGACGAAAAGTATTTCAGGCGGACTCTGATTTTTTTATGTATCATATGCCCTAAGGTTCAGTTGCCACCACTAAAATAATGGGGGTTACTATAACCACCATTATTTGCCTGAGGTTTTTCATCATTCAAATTGGGTCAACCATTATTTTCATGGGCGTTGAACCCCAGGGTATGTCTACGTTCCGAGTTTCGGCTCGGCACGCGGATCTCTGATCTGCGATCGAGGGCGAGGCCATCAACGTGCTGATCACGGGTGGGGCCGACATTCGGCATGTGGCGTGGGTCCTGTCCGACGCGCGAAAGGCGTTCGCGGGCTCAGGGCTTTTTCTGAAGTTTCCCGGGGAGATGAATGGGCGTGTGTTTTTTTGAGTCGGTTCCTCCTTTTTGGTTCTGTCAAAGGAAAACCACAAGACACAAAATGCGGGTCCCCCCCCCAAAAAAGAAAGAGACCTGAATATTTTGTTGTCTTCTGCAATGTGATCTCATCTAAAATGGGACACCACGCCCTATTTATGACAAAGTTTAGGAACACTGGCCAGGTGGGTCGAGAAAGGAATCCCTGCTTTTTGACTGCGCGGACTCGCCAAGGCTATCAAGGAGGGAGGCTGCTAATCGGGTGCCACGGCAGGAAGGATGTTGACTAATTTTCCAAAGTGTCCTGCAAGGAAGCATTAGTGAATGCACGTCAACTTCCTTATCACTGTAAGCATCAGTAACCCGAATTGAAGCATTCCTACTAAACAGTGGCATCTCAATTCCTCTGGCGGAGAGATTCTGGGTCTGGTTGGGGGACCGGGTATTGACCTGAACAATGTGCGGGCCAGGGCCACTTGCGCAATTGGCAATGCATCGATTTGCATGTGAGCATGTTGGCTAAGCAGAAGCAAAGCAATCCAAGCCTCGTGGTCAAAGCTGGATTATGCCCCAACCCTTACGCAACAGTAGGCGAGGTTCCGATGTAGCCCCGGGAGGGGTCCAAGCAAAACCTCGGGTCTGGGCTGTTTCAAAGCAATCCACATGTTTTTTGCGTTTCCCTTGTTTCCAACTGTGGATTAGGAATCAGGATTGGGAATCCATGTTGAACTAACCAGGGATGGATCCGCCCTGGCACCACCCATGGATCCCTTTTGTTTTCTAGGGTTTGACTGAGGATTGGGACCCCAACATTTTAAACCCGGGTGGTTTGACTGAGGTCAAGACATTGGCAAGACGTGGCAAGGACAGGGCGGGAGGAAGCACCAGATCATCGGGTTTCGCACAGGAGCCATGGTTGCGGGTTGCACAACGGGCACCAAGGGAATCCCCTTCAAAGTCATGATGATTTTGCTACCAGGCTCTTTGGATGGCAAGGACAAGCAAAGTCAGTTCCACAGCTCCAAGGTGACTGCCTTCAAAATATTAGCCTGCTTAGCTGGGCCGAGTCTTCAACCGCGTCCATTTGGTGGACATTTCTTTCCCACCGAACTCTGATATCCACCAAAGGGTCCCTGAGTTAAATTCATACCCATACGTGCTCCCGTTGTTTTTTTTTTCAGATCAATTGTGGCTCCCAGTGGTGGTGTGAAGGCGTTGGATTCTTGCTCCTTCCTGGTGGGGCTTCTGGGGTCCATAGAGGGAGCTGTGACTACGCCCACGCTGTACAGAATACAGAGAGTCGCATGGGATGCATTCTTTGCACAATTCATCAAATTCACCAGCTCCGTTCAGTTTTGAGTCCAGCAAGAATTCCTGAAGCCGCGCAAACTACTGCGTGGAATGGCCCTTTGGGGTCCAGCTTTGTTTTTTTGTAGCCACCAACAGAGCTTCCCACTTTGAGCCGTGACTTTTATCCACCAGACTTTCCAAATTCATTGAATTCAGGCAGACTACCACACATTCAGCCCCCAGTTAGACTGCATTCCTCTACTGAAAACCTCCCGCTGCAATGACTAGGGGCCTTGGGGTTTCTCTCCGAGCTCTGAGCGTCTGGGGCTTGGGGGCTCGGAGCATCTATTCGCCCAGGAGCATCAGCGAGTGCGCTTCTTCCTCCACGAGACGCAGCACGAGGCCACCGAAAAAAACACTGTCCACCTGTCGCCAGAATTCTCTGCGCTTCTGGAGGGCTAGGTGGTTCTCGTTGCCATCTGGTTCCTCAGGCGGCGGTTTCCACGAAAAAAGTTAATGAGCAGGGGATCCGAGGACAGCCCCGATATCGGTATTTCTCGGCCCCTCTCACGGCGTGGTTTCTTGTTCCTTCCTTTTTTGTTGGAGAGAGGTACCCATTTTGGGGTTGCTCTCAGCGAGTTCAGGGAAGATGTTGTGTTTTTTGCCAGTTTCAAACGGCGGCCTGCAGCTCGGAGGCTTGACGTAGTTACGGGCCAAGACAATGGCAGGTTACATTTGG